GTAAAACCTCAGTTAGAGAATATCCTTTGGAATAGAAGCGAGCTCCGCATAGCGAATTACTTACTTCCCTATATACCTATCAGTTATTTAAAATCCAAATTATATTGTGTGGTGTCTATGTCCAATGTCTATGGCAAAATATGCTAGTTCTCACGTTAGTTGTTTAGTTGTATATGTAGGTACTATAAGTGTCATGGACTTTTTATAGGAGAATGACTTGGCTGAAAGTGAATGACCCAAATTAGAAGCCTGTAATCAATTGAATAGTTAAACGGACTTCAAAATTATTGTCAATCGATAGAGGCCACGCACTATGTGCTATCTAGTATCAGTTTAAATAAGAACGAATTTAGGTATTCCTTAGGCTTAATAACTTCTAGAGCGACTGATTGGTAGCTACCTGCATGCAGCCCAACGGATGTTAATGTATAGATCTCCTTAAAGATAAAGTATTATTATCAATTTTACTATCATGGGACTAATTTATTTATTTGTTAATAATTACACCTCGTTGGATTACTTTCTTTCTGTATATTATTTAGAAGGTGGTTTTGAGAAGGTAAATCTCTATCTAACCGGTAAATAACATTCACAGCGTAGCAGTACAGGCGTACAAGTAGAATCCTTGACTAACTCATAACTTTTAAATCACGAAGTCATCGAAATGATAGTTAAAAAAGAAATAAATATAATTTATACTTATTATATATATTAATACATTTTACTTTACAACATGATGGCCTTAGAATCTATAGTGTTTACGAGGCCAAGGAAAAGTTTCGCTCTGATTAGTATTTGCTTACCAAATGTAACGATGAAGACTCCCGATCCGTTGCTGTATTTACTTCGTGTTATATGGTCTCTTTTGTCGACAATAACAAAGGACTTTCAAATGAAGTTCAGAATTCAGAAAATGAATTCGTTCAGTCCTTATTTTCGCAGTTTTAGACCATTAGAGATATTTTTTTTTCTCTTCCATGGTGAACGAAGTTTGGATGCGTGTGATCTATAGACTACTAGACTCCATTTTAGAGAGATAGATCAAACTGAATGCTTTAAGACGCTATTTCCAATGTTAATCTTGAATGCAAGAATGCGTTTATTAATGACCATAGGAGAATGTACGTCTCTTATCATTTTTAAAATGCATAAAGATGAACTTAACTATTGATGAATTGAGTTATAGTACGCAGTAAAAGTATCACCCGTTTGAGAATAGACGTAAGTAATATAAACAAAATAATAAAATTAAATAAAATTAAGTAATTAAAGTTTTGATTTTTTCCGATGTTCCCGGTGAACGTATTCGATTTTTCATTTAACGTGTTCGATTTTTCATTTTCATACAAACCTGGGGGCTTATTCCCGAATCCAATTCCGATCGATCGACATTGGTATTGTGAAATTTCGTATCTACTCTTGAGTTGCAACACTAGCGCCCATTGCATCCGTATTGTGTGGATATTCAATAAACTAAACGGTATTAAGTTTGACTTTATATGCCATACTCTGAATGCCATTTTAACAGCTACGATAGGGGTTGTATAGTTTTGACATTGAATAATTATTGAGATTTTATTGGATTGAAATTGTATTGGCATCATGATTGGTTTCAAGAGTAAGCACCCTGGTCCTAATGATAACGAACACTACGAAACGAAAATTATCGAAATTGGTCGAGTATTTCATAACTTATGCGCTTACATACACTACGGTGATTCATTTTTATTTAAATAGATTCAACTGTTGATACCTTAATTAGTAAGGACATGCACAAAGTGCGCATGCAGGCGGCTAGCTCAAAGGAGCACTGAAGCGGTGAGTTCTTGATAAAAATATAGCTAAGTGTTTCAAAACAATGAAATGTATTAAATTATTTATTAATGGATTATGTTTATAAAAAAATGATTATTTATTTATTGTATTGTATAGATTACATATATTTTGTGTAAGATTTTATCACTTTATCGATCTTTTGAGCGAAGCCGCTTATGTTACTAATAACATCCTACCTCTGTATGTCTGCCTGTCTGTACTTAATTAAAAACTCGTAGCTTATGTTTTTTTTCTTTTTCCTTAGGGGACAAGCGACAACAAAAGCAGGAGCAACCTCGTCTACTTAGACGAGGACGTCTAAATAGACACAAACAGCGTGTACTATACAACATTTCATTCACATTTTTGTAGTGACGTCATTATACAATTACACATCCTATAACGCGGTCATTATTGTATCCACTATTTTATTTCCATTAAGCGTATAGCTTACGTATGTTTAACACTATTTATAGCCTAGGCTTTTTTAAAATTACCTAAATGCATAACGATAGTACGTTGATATGACTACCAAGAATATCTAGGTCAATATTTCAAAGTATTTAGTTTATAATTTTAAAATATTATGATTTGGTTTGGTTCAATTATAAAAACATTGACGTTCTTGACAGCTAGTAGCATAGGTAGGTACTTTCTTAGCTAGCCTAATAGTTAATTAAGGATATACTAAATTATTTAATGAAATAGAATATGGAATAATATTATATGGCTCTATCCAAGGACAAGGTAACTTATGGTTTCTTACCTTAGAAATAAAGTAAGAAACTTTATTTTAAAATTGCTTCGGCAGTCTTACTATCTCAGTAATCTATGGATACTATGCAGGAAATGTCGAAAACTTCCTAATATCTTCTTCGTTCTCTTGCTTTAGAAGGCTTAGTCGTCTTACTCATGCGCTTTCTAATTAACTTAAAACAGACTAAAAGTTGTGAAGAGAAGTAAATGCCGCATGATTTAATATTTTAGATATAACCTACATTTTAATAGGCGTACTATCTTATCAATATAAATGCTACTGTTAATGGTGTATGTACGTATGTAAGTTTGTTACAATTTCACGAAAAATTTTTATCCCAGCCTCCCAGGAACCCGAGCGGAGCATGCGGTGCGTCGCTTTCTGCGCGCGTCTCAAAGGGCCATCAGACCACCACAGATGGGGCCCAATAGGGCTGATGCCGATACGGAGCCGCAGAGAACTTAATGGGTTACCGGGTTCTGGCTTAAAGTGCAGGAGTAGGAACGGGGTGGTTTTTAGTCAGTAAGAGTCTGACACTTCCTCCCGCCTCACCCAGACGAGAGAAGTGGCCACCGTAAGCGCGGGCCTGCGGACGGCGAGCATGGGTGGCTCCCCGTCCGACCAGAAACAGACCCGAGCGTACGGCGCGTCGCGTTCCGCGCGCGCCTCAAAGAGCCATCAGACCACCACAGATGGGGCCCAATAGGGCC